GTTTTTAATGCTTTTATTTTTACAGATCCCCCCCCCCTCCTCACTTAGGGAGTCCCTTACCCTTGTAGAAGCTGTCACCATCAAAAGAATCCCCCCTTCCGGCTTCCCCAGCTCTCCTGAACATCAGGAGTTTGTGTGTGAGAGAGAGAGAGAGACAGAGAGACTGAGACCTGTGAACTGTCCCCCCATCCCTTGTCTCCCCTTGTGTTCATCTAAGCTGCCCACATTCAGCACTTGATCAGTATAAAGCACAGCGGCCCTGCTAACAAGGGATTCTTGGTAGTCAGTGCACACAAAAAGACTGTGAATAAAATAAACTTTTAACAACTACACATAAAACCAAGAAAGCACAGATAATTGGGAAGAATCAGTAGACAGACCAGTTAGGCAAATTCTACAAAGATGGCTAGCTGATCCTATATTTATTTATTTATTAGATTTGTTTGTATTAGATATGCAGATGTCTCGCCACTGTTCTCCTAGGAATGGGTTCAGGATGGCGCATTCTGACATAGCCTGACAAAGCTTGCAATAGATATCAGTATTTGACTCCAATCTCCAAACCAGTCTAACATATAGATTCTCTTGCAACCTGGGGAGTTTCCTTTCCACCCAACAAAGTTTGGGATGCAGTCTTAAAGTTCCCCTCCCCCAAGCCTGCTTTAGACCAATCACTTTGAAAGTTTGGATAAGGAGGTTCAAGTGCCAAACGGGGAAATTAAAAATGATCTACCTTGGCACCTCTGACAGCTTGACCAAATGACAGGACGAACACAACTCAATTTCCTTCTGTTAGCTCACAGATCATCATATACCTGCCTTTTTTCCTTCCTGGGATACAAATAAGTACTTTTACTGTCCTTTTCTGCAGATAAGTGTGTGTCTGTGGTGCTCTAAAAGCAAATTTTATCCTCCCACAACAATGCCAACACTAATTAAAAATGACTACTAGCTTATATACCTTTTCCTGTAGTTCTTCATCTTTTTGAGCATTTTGGGCTTCTAATTCTTCAATTTTCTTTTTAAGTACCAATATTTTTCCACGACTTGCAGCAGCATTATGCTGATCACCATCTCTACAGCCCTAAAAAAGTAAATCTGAAAGTTTAGCTTCTGATAAAACAAATGATTTTTTTCAATCAATGCATGTTTTAAAGTTCTCTTCAGTACTCAGTGGGGCTTACACCCAGGAACTGTTCTTAGGATTTCATTTCAACTCACCTAACTGGGCAATAAAATATCTGACCTCTGAAATCTGAATTATATATTAATAAAAACAATTTTAAATAGAGGATTACAAGAGAGAGAGACCTGTGAGTACTTACAACAATAGGGAGTTTCCTTTCTCTCTGTCTTCTTTCCTGCTCCATCTCTACCTTTACTACATCGATTCCAAATCTATTTCCCCCTCATCTGCTCACTTTACCCAATCTTCCTGGCTGTCCTGCCACTCTCCCCACCCCCCATGTGGTCCCGTGGTCACCCTGTACAGCCTCCCACTACCCCTTCAAGCCTCTGAGTCTCCACATCCTCACTCTCTCCAGAACATTTTCCTTTTCTCCATTCCACCTCATTTTCTCTTCTTTACCTCCCTCTTCAGCTGAAAAATGGAAAAACTACAACCAAAAGTTCACAAGGTAGTCTCATGAGATCTTATCAACCATTTAAAACTGCCCAGGCAAACACAAACATGAGGTTTCAGTCATCATGACTTTTCAAAGGCCCCTTGGCCATCTCTGGATTCGGTGCTCGACGACTTTAGCCAACTCTCTCAGGATGATGTCAACAAGATCCTTGGTACTGTTAGGCCGACCACATGCCACTTGGACCCATATCCATCAAGGCTGGTGAAAGCCATTGGTGATGGAATACATGGCCCCCTATGGACATTATCAATCTTCCTGGGATACAGGAATATGTGGCCCCCTGAGTTCAGGGGTCTATCTAGGGGGCTTAAGCCATGGTAACACCGCTCTTGAAGAAGCCATCTTTAGACCCATCGGATCCGGCCAATTACCACCTAGTTTCGAACCTCTCGTTCCTCAGTAAAGTGATTGAGAGAGCAGTGGCCAAGCAGCTCTAGGGCTTCTTGGAGGACACATCAGCCTTAGACCCATTCCAGTCCAGCTTCCATCCCAGCCATGGGACGGAGAGGGTGCTGGTCACCCTCACAAACCATCTCCGCAGACAGCTGGACTCAGGCAGGTCTGCGCTGCTCTTGTTAGATCTGACAGCAGCATTTGACACAGTCGACTATGACCTGCTGGCCCACCGCCTTGCCGATGTAGGAGTCCATGGAGTAGCCTTGAAGTGGCTTACTTCATTCCTCCAGGGTCGGGGACACAGAGTAGTGCTGGAGAGAGGGTGTCACCCCAACACCCCTTGGTGGCAGGGTCCCCCAAGGGGCCATTCTCTCACCTATGCTGTTCAACATCTACATGCACCCTCTTGCCCAGCTGGTGCAGAGTTTTAGCCTGAGCTGTCACCAGTACGCAGATGACACCCAGCTGTATCTGATGATGGGCAGCCAGCCAACCATCGCCCTATCTAATTTGGCTGCGGGACTGGAGACTGGGGCTGGGTGGTTGAAGCAGAGCTGATTGAGACTGAATCTATCTAAGATGGAGGTCCTGGGGCTGGGGGGGTGATCCGAGGTCAGGGTGCCAATTCCCAGCTCTTGACTGTGTGACACTAACACTGGCATCGACCATCAAGAGTCTGGATGTGCTTCTGGAACCCTCCTTAACTATGGAGGCCCGAGTGGTGAATGTTGCCAGGCTGGCATTTTTCCAACTGCGCCAGGTCAGGCAGCTGGCCCCCTACCTCTCTAGCCCTGACCTTGCCACAGTGATCCATGCAACAGACACCTCAAGGCTGGATTACTGCAACTCGCTCTACACAGGGCTACCCCAGAAACTACAGCTTGTCTAGAATGCAGCACCATGGGTACTTACAGGTACCCCCGATGACAATGCACATACAGCCTGTGCTTTACCCGCTTCACTGGCTCCAAGTCAAGTACTGGATCTGCTTCAAGGTTCTGCTGCTGACCTTTAAGCCCTTTACAGTCTGGGATCAGCGTATTTGCAGGACTGTCTTTCCCGATATGTTCTCCGAAGAGCCTTGCGTTCGATCAAAGACCTAGGTCCCTGGCCCAAGAGATGTCTGGCTGGCCTCGATCAGAGCCAGGGCCTTTTTGAACCTGGCCCCAGCCTGATGGAACTCTCTACCTGGTGACATCTGTACCCTGCAGGACCTAGCTCAGTTCTGCATGGCATGCAAAACAGAGATGTTCCACCGGGCCTATGGTTGAGGACAGTAATAGTCCACATTGTGGCTCTCACTTTGGCCTCCTCCATAACCATAACCAGAGCTGCAGTGGCTCAAGTGGTTAAGACGCTGAACTGCAGGCTGTGGAAGGTCGGTAGTTCAGCAGTTCGAGACCCGGGTGCTGCATGACGGAGTGAGCTCCCGTCTCTAGTTCCAGCTCCTGCCAACCTAGCAGTTTGAAAGCAAGAAATTGCAAGTAGATAAACAGGAACCACTTCAGTGGGAAGGTAACAGCGTTCCGTGCGCCTTGGTGTTTAGTCATGCTGGCCACATGACCACGGAAACGTCTTCGGACAGCGCTGACTCTTTGGCTTTGAAACGGAGATGAGCACCGCAACCCTAGAGTCGGATTCGACTGGCTTTCGAGCAAGGGAACCTTTACCTTTACCCTTTATAACCAGTTACTGATCCGCCTGAGGGAGGGAGGGAGGGAACAAAGTGCAATTTTATGCCATCAACTAGTACTGCTGATTTTACTGTAAACTGGAAATGAACTGATTTGTATTTTACCCTGTTGTGCACCGCCCTGAGCCCTTCAGGGAAGTATTCACTTTTTTTTCTCCTTAAACAAGTTATGGAATGCAGCTTATGGAAGTAAAAAGAGATTAACAATTAAATTATTATTTATGACTGGAAATTTAATAATAGCAGAAGGTAATCTAAAAACATTAGAAACATTTACAAAATAGTTAGGCCATTTATTTATTAGAAAATTCCTATGCTGTCCCTCCAGGGAATGTGCCCATGGTGGCCTACAAAAATCAAACATAATAAAAACATAAAATACCATAAAATTAACAATTAAAACCCAACATTCAAAACCCAGGCAGAGCATAAAACAAACATAAAACTTTGAGCAGCTTCAATTATTAAGCTGAAAGCAGTCTATGAAATGTTAAGAGATCAAATCCCTTAATTAAAAGCCTGGGTGAAAAGAAATGTTTGGCCTGAGGCATAGAAGAGAGTAGTGATATAGGCACCAGGCAACCCTGAAGAAGAAGAAGAGATTGGGTGTATACCCTCCCCTTCACTTGGAGTCTCAGAGTGGTTTACAAACTCCTTTCCTTTCCCCTCCCCACAACAGGCACCCTGTGAGGTAGGTGGGGATGAGAGAGCTCTTTCCAGAACTGTCCTTGAGAGAACAGCTCTGACAGAACTATGGCTTGCCCAAGGTCATCCAGCAGCTGCAAGTGGAGGACTGGGGAATCAAACCCGGTTCTCCCAGATTAGAGTCGCACACTTAACCACTACACCAAACTGGCTCTGAAGGGGAAGGCATTCCACAGGCAAGGTGCCACTGCTGAAAAAGCCCAATCTCTGGTTACCACCTGCCTCAGCTCTAATGGTGGCGGCATGTAGAGCAGAGCTTGAAAGGAATATCTGAACTGGTGGGCTGGACAGTGTGTAAGGAAACACTCCCTGCTTCTAAGCTACTTAGGGCCTTAAAGGTAAGAACCAGAACTTTGAACTTTGCCTGGAAACAGATGGGTAAACAGTACAGATCTTTCAATATGGGGTAGCATCATCTTTATAACCAATCCCTGACTGCAAGCTGGCTGCTGCATTTGGGATCACCTGAAGTTTCTGGACAGTTTTCAAAGGTAGCCCCACATACAGCATATCACAGTAATCTAAGTACAGCATGGATCCCCATGGCCAGATCATGCTTTTAGAGAAAGGGTTATAGCTGGTATATCAGATGAAGCTGCTAAAAGTTGCCACAGAGAAGACCTGAGCCTCCAGCTGCAGGCCAGGATCCAGCAGCCCCCAAGCTATGAACCAGCTCCTTCACAGAGAGTGAAACCTCCTCCATGGGAGCCTGATGCAGCAGTCGTCAAGGAGCTCCTTTATTGTCTAACAGCACCCCAGTCTTGTCTGGACTGAATTTCAATCTATTGGCCCTCATCCATTATATTACCATCTCTGGGCACCCATTCAGGACTTCCACAGACCCCTCTGACTCAACAGTTAAGGCAAAACAGACCTAGGAGTTATCTGCATATTGGTAGCAACTTACTCCAGATCCCGTGGTGATCTCTCCCAGCAGTTTCACATAGATGTTATACAGGGTGCAGGACAAGGTGGTTTCCTGTGGCACCCCATAGCATAAATGCCGCAGGGCCAAGCAGTAGCTCCCAGCGCTACCTTCTAGAATCAGATGGTTAAGTAAGAGCAGAACCACAGAAACACAGTACTGCCTATTCCCAGGTTTTCCAGAAGAATAGCATGTCTGTTGTATCAAAAGCCGCTAACCCAGGTCCAGGAAAATCAACAGGGACAAATTCCCCATCACTCTCCCATCAAAAATCATCAATCAACACAACCAAGGCTGTTTCTGTCGTAAACCCATATCTGAATCCAAACTGAAATGGGTTTAGAAAATGTGTCTCCTTGGAGACCACCTGAATCTGCATAGCTACCATCCGCTTGAGCATTTTGCCCCAAAATTGAATGCTGGCTAACAGATAGTAGTTGTTTAGGTCAGTGTGCTCCAGGGACAGCCTCGTGACTATCTTTTGCAAGACCATCAAAACTACACCTTACCTTTTTTAGCGAGGGCCTCATGACTTTTGCAAGACCATCAAAACTACACCTTACCACAGAGAAGCATTTATTACCTCCTGGATCCACTTGACCAACCCAGCCCAGCTTGACACTAACAGTCACACAGGCTCGAGTCTAGAGCTGACGCGCCATACACTTCTAAGCATCTTATCCAGTTCATCAGGCCTCTCCAACTGAACATCATCCATACAACTGGGACCAGACTCTGCTCCTATGGCATTAAGACTGATTGGAGCCAATGATGAAATCTTAGTCACAGTGGATGTGAGTGAAGGGAGTTCACTTCATTGCCATCATTGCCACAGAACAGGCATGATAGTGTGCTCTCACCCATATTTGATCATATTACTTTTGAGTTTTCTTCCACTTGCGCACCTAACCGCTTTATAACCAAAAGCTCCTTGGTAAACCAAGGAGCATTGCAGGGTTCACAGAAGGGAAGAGATTAATCAGGTTCTGGATTTCACAAACTGACCAGGGCTGTAGCAGGAGCACCAATATGGCTGATCTATCATCCTAATCACATTTACAAAGGAAATAGTCCAATTAACTGCAATGAAATTTGCTTCTGAGTAAATACATACTATTGGACTATTATGTTTATATCTAAATATGGGACACATACACAAAGACAGAATCACATAGCAAGCAAACACACTCTGGTGGTGTGATTTCTCTACAACATTGTCCACTACTGAAAAGACAGCTCACATGTTAATAAGCAACTTCAACAGAAATAACAACTTAACAAAAGCAGCAACTTTTTATGGGGGGGGGTAGCTGTTCCATAAACACACATACAATTAAGGCCAAAACCTTCAAGTCAGACTGAAATTTTGAAATTAAAACTCACTCTTTTTTGTTCTGGTTTTCCTTCTTGTGTACCAGCTCCTGATAACTGCTTCTTAAGGTCCTCTAATTGTGAATTTAATGATGTTACTTTGGCTTTGTTTTGCAGCTTTAATTTGGAAATATTAGCTTCAAAGGCTTCTTTTTCTTCCTAAAGATTATTAAGAGCTTGTTTTTAACTGAAAATGCAATCTGCACATACAATTTAATTGCAGCTATTAAAGACAGATGAAGACATAAATACATTAAAAAACCCAAATACCAGGCTAATTTTTGCACTAAAAGAACTTCAGCTCCAAGACAGGTGGCATTAGGTCCAACAGTGCATTACAGTCACCAATTTGGAAAGGGTAATTTTAACCCTAGGCTTATAACAGCATCTGTTCTCACTTGGGAAACATTTGCATTTTGAGTGACAACCAAATCTGGCAATTTATAGAAAGTTAAAATAAATTAAAAGGGAGATGCACCTGCTAATTATGATCACTGTTTAGGAATCCAGTTTTGAAATAACAGTTGTTAATCCAGCATTTAGGACAGAAGATCACTGCACAGAGATAAAAGAAACTCATTTTTACAATATATACAAACAAATACCTTTAACTGTTGCTTATAACTGTGTAGCTCATTATCCTTTTCCTTGATAAGTTCCTTGAGCTGTACTACCAGCTGTTTAGTTTGGGCCAGCTGTTCGGTCAAATCGGCCACTGACATGCTTGCTGCTTTGGAAGTCCCATGAGCCTAAAAGATATCAGAGTTAATTTATCAACAGCAACAAAGGTGCAAGACAAGCTCATACAGTTTTGGAACGTAACATTTTCTATATTTCAATATCCATGACCACTGTGGAGAAACCTTTACAGATTGTTTAAGAATAAGTGACCCAACTCAGTAATTTCTGAAGTTGGAACTGATATAAACTGTGAGATCTTCTGCCCCACTGTGAGATCTCCAGTGGAAATAGCAGGACCTGCTATGTACTTCTCCTGCCAACCTAGCAGTTTGAAAGCAAGAAATTGCAAGTAGACAAATAGGTACCACTTCGGTGGGAAAGTAACAGCATTCTGTGTGCCTCGGCGTTTAGTCATGCTGGCCACATGACCACGAACATGTCTTCGGACAACGCTGGCTCTTTGGCTTGGAAACGGAGATGAGCACCGCCCCCCCAGAGTCGGACTCAACTGGCTTTTGAGCAAGGGAAACCGTTACCTTTTTACTATGTACTTGGAACTACCCCCTGCACCTACATGAGTACTGATGAAACACTTTTAAGCATATTAAGCCACTGTCCTAGAGAATCTGTGCTTTAAAAACTGAAATCTAAATACTTGTACATTTTTGCCTTACGCAAAGAAGCAGCATTCTAGAAGTTACACATAACATTATTTCTGTGTTGCCTGGTCTGATTTGTATAAGCAAGCATGCAGCAGCCAGGGGTTGGGCATGTTGTTTTAAGGAAGCTGAAACCTGTCAATCTTCTGGCTGTATGTCTCTCACACACTAAAATTTGCCTACTGTTATGCTTCTTTAAAAGGCTATCATGCACAGTCCTAAATACTTCATCACTTTTTTAAAGATTACAGAAGATACACAGTAAAGCAGCTGCGGCGTTAAATGAAAACAAGTTAGACTGGGGACAGTAAGTCATAAGTCAAACATTTGAGATGTAACAGACTTTAAAATTAATAAAATTCTTATTTGTAAAGCTGAAGACATTGACAATTATTGTATTGTGAATCACATTTACAGAATACAGCCAAATGTCAAAGCATTTTTTTACAGTACTTACTCCAGATGTAGGGGCTGAATCATCACCACTGCCCCATTTCCACATAATTTAAGATGGTCTGTAGAAAAGTATAAGAATTTTAGTACAAGCTATATTTATTTCAGGCATTTTAAACTACATTTTAAAACAAATTTATTTACAATGTGGCAACAAAACATAAAAAATAAAACATTTGTGAAACAGTAAAACCTAAAAACCAAAGACAAACAAACAAAAGATAAGGAGAGTCCTGTCGGATCAGACCAGCAATCCATATCCCACAGTGTCCAACCAGATCCCCGATAAGGGTATGGCTCTAAGCCTTGCCCCTGTTGTTGCCCCCAGCAACTGATATTCAGAAGGCATTACCACTGAACATGGAGGTCCCAACTGACAATCATGGCTAACAGAAGAAAGAGCTGACCTGGACCCTATGCCGTCCAAGCAGAACTCCTCCCCACCCTGCTCTTCTGCAGTAGTCCATGGCCCAGGAAGCTGTGCCCCTAAGGGCCAACAGACTTCCAGAAACCCTAAGAGGATCAAGTGGAGGGGCTGAAGTGAGAGTGGAGAACTGTCAGAAAATCACCCTTCCACAAGCAAAAGTGCCGACCGCAAGGGACCTTAGAATCCAAGCAGCAAGTTAAAAACACCGTCAACTGTATAGTCAGTCAGAGCCTTTACAAACTAGAAAAGCTTTGTGATCCACCAAAATGACAGTAGCAGCTTTCCTTAGGAAACGTATTCCCCAGTGAGCGCTATTACTAAAAAGACTCTACCCCATGCCATAGCCATCCTCAGATATGTAAAGAACAGGACTTGGGGCACAGTGTTACAAAGTGAACTAAGAAGGAAACACCATTCCCTAAAGTATGAAGACAGTTCAAGGATCAACAATACCAGTTTCAGATGGGTAGCTGTGATGGTCCGCAGTAGGAGAGTAAAATTTGGGACCAGTAGCACCTTAAAGAGCAACAAGGTTCCCAGGGTATAAGCTTTTGCCCTGAACTGGATGGCCAAGCCTGTCTCAGAAGCTAAGCAGAGTCAGCCCTGGCTAGTAGTTGGATGGGCTAAGGAAGGAACTCTAGGGTTGCTATGATTTGATGGCACTTTCCACCAAACTTTCAAGAGTCAAAGCACCCTTTGTCAGGTACTGGTCAAAAGGTCAAAACCAGTGACCTTCAGTTGTGCTTGGAAGCAAGACTGACCAGAAGTCACAGGTGGTAGAGAATACGGCTGTTAGTGAGGAAAAAGAAATCCTCCTGTCAGGGTAATACCCCTGCACTCACCAAGTACAGGATATTCCACCTACTTAGAGATAAATAGCAGCGTCTGTGAATTAATCCAGAGTGGAGAAATTTCTGCAAAGCACAAGAAAGCAACGTTTAAGCCCTGACCTGAATAGCCCAGGCAAGTCCAATCTCAGAAACTAAACAGGACAGACCGTGGCAAGTACTAGGAAGGAAGATCTCCAAGGTATACCAGGACCAGGACAGAGACAGGCAATCAAGCCACCTCTTCTAGCCCCACTAGGGGTCGCCAGAAGTCACCATAACTTCCAGGCTGGTAAGCACACACACAAAATACGAAGGGAAGGAAGGTTTAATAACTATTTACAAAGTCATTTAAACAACTTCCTGGCTATTGCTTAGGAGGCTTCATTCACTTTATCTCAATGTAACACACAGGAATAAGGAGAAGAGGAAGAAAAGTGACAGTTGAATCCATGAATAGCAGTGAAGAAGAGAGAAGGGAAGGGCTGATTCTGGAGGAAAGAAAAATACAATACATAGCATCAAATCCCCTCCCTCTTGAAACCATAGAGCTTTCTCTAATTCAAATTAGGCTCCAGAGACTTTTCAACAGCTGCAACCACAAAGTTGACTTAATGGCTCAAATAACTATTGCTTGGAAGAAGCCTCAGAATGAAGCATGATATTCTGAAACAAATAGATTCCGCAGAGTAGGCAGAAGTTATGAACCTACAATTTGAAGCGGTACTGCACCTCCCCAAATTATAATTCTTTACTCAAGCATTGAAGATTCTAAGAATTAGGGACAGACTCACAGTTTATATTTGAATGCTTTGCTCTCACACCACAAAGAAATACATAGCCTTCAGGACCCCCGTTATGCAATATGTACAGAATTAACCAAGGAAGTTGAGCTTTGGAGATTATCCATTTAGCTGTTAGCTCAGCAACAGAACACATGTTACCAGTCTAATATCCCGTGTTCAATCCTTGGTATCTTGTTTTTTTAAAAATCACCAAGTAGCACAGTCACTGGAACTAAATGTTGGGTGCAAAACAAGGTATAAAATCACCCTGAATAGCTATAAAAGAGCAGAGTAATGGTAAGCAAGAGTACCTTTCCTCCACTCACCACAAGAGTACCTTTCCTCCACTTACATTTTCTTTCTACCAACTTGGGGGGGGGGTGTTGATGCATTAAGAGAAAAAACAGGTGTAGCAAGTGAAATGAGACAGATATGAAAAGAATTCAGCACTCGCTGTTTCAGCATTTATAGCATTGGGTTATTTATTTTATTTATTTATTTTTGGGATTTCTATCCCGCCCTACTCAGAGGCTCAGGGCGGCTAACAACAATTTTAAAAGTTTGTAACAATAAAACAGTAATATATACAATAAAATTTGGTGCTACAATCTACATACATTATACACAGATCTATATGCGTTATACACAATACACAGCAACCCCCATTTGCAGTTAGCGTTCTTAATAGCGGAAATGTCAGGAACAGTCCTCCCCCACAGTTTTCGGGCGACATCTACCCCCCACCCCAGGGTACGGTAGATGGATGGAACATCACAATGGTGGTATAGCGGCGGCGGCGGCTCCTACCCAAAGGCCTGGTGGAAGAGCTCCATCTTACAGGCCCTGCGGAACTGTACTAGGTCCCGCAGGGCCCGGATCTCCTCTGGGAGCTCATTCCACCAGGCAGGAGCCACCACCGAAAACGCCCTAGCTCTGATCACAACTCGGGGGCCTGGAACTTCAAGGCGATGGAGATTCCCCAATCTCGGTGCTCTTGAGGGAACATACGGGAAGAGACCATCAGTCTGATGTAGCAGAAGTCCTCTCTATTTATCCAAAAACACTTAGCAAAAATTACACTCTTCCTCACAGGGTGTATGGCTATATATATATATAGGGTTATGGTTATATATATATCACAGCTGTCAAGCCATTGTGGAACTGCATTCTCCCTATTTTGGTCACATATAGAATTAGTCTGGCAAAACTGCATCCAGGAAGAACCAGTTCTGCCGCTTCCCAGCAGAACTCAACTGTGCTGGCCCATGCAATATGCCAACTCTTCCACTCAAGAGTTTCAAGTCTAATCCCCCCCCCCCAAAGATACAAGACAGCAAAAAAAAACCATGCAAGACACTTCAAATAATTAAAGATGGATTGCTAGCATGAAGCATGTTGGGGAGGAAAAAGCAAAGTAGCCAGCATTGTATTTGGAAGCAAAGTGTTGTTTGTGAATGAAGGTGAGCGCAAGCCAACCTCAGCAAGGGTGGACCTGCACTCTCTAGTTTGCACATACACTTTATGTAACAAGATTCTAAATGAAATTGCATGGGATTAAGTCTCATTGTTTTCAGTTGGGTTTACCTTCTCACAATGAGCCTAACCCAGCAAGGCCTATTAAAGACTGTGGACAGAGTTACATGAGTACAACAGGGCTTCTAACTTTCATTTGCAAATAGCAGCTCCCACATTTCATGCTAATCTGCTTCAGAATCAGCAATGGAGAGATGCTATTTAAAAAGGAGTGTTAGAAGTCACACAGCACTTGCCACACTCAGTTCTGGACTGGATGAAAACTGTCTCTAGGCAAGCATCTTATACATGTTTCATTGGGTATGTTAAATATAAACTAGCAGACTTGAAAAGCCCTGACTAACCCAGTTATCTCAGAGATAGGAAGCTAAGAAGAGTTGGCCAAGGTTAGTACTTTGATGTGAGACTACCAAGGAAGACTGGTTTTTTTATGCAGAAGGAAGACTGGTTTTTTTATGCAGAAGAAGACACTGGCAAACAACCTCTGCTCATTTATTGCCTTGGAGTTGGTTGCAATTTGATAGCACATAATTATTATTATTGACTTTTCAAGACTGGCATGTTACAAAACAAGCTGAACACCTGGCACGATTCCCTTTCTTGGGGGGGGGGGGATTATGTTAACCAAAAGGGGACAGGTGCTTTAGACTTTTTATGAGATTTTTATCCCACTCTTCTCCAAAAAGCTCAGGGCAGCTTGCAAAGTTTACTCTCTCCCTTCCCCCAATTGATCCTCACAACTAGCTTAGCCTCTAATGTGACACCTTCCAGTGTGTTCCCTGGCACCCACGTCCTTCTCCAAAGCATCTCTTCCCAAGAGCCTCACTGGAGCAGAAAGTGCTTCAGGGGCCTACAAAGATCATCTTTATTTCTTTGGGGTGCACCCATTCAGAACAGCTGCCTTCATCATAGGCAGACTCAGATTCTCCCCAACAATCTGTGACTGCCCTCCCGGCAGCCACTTCACCATGGCATGTTTTCTACACACAATACTGTGACAGATAGCAGAATAGATTTGTATGTGGTCATCACACTCACAGCGAATCCCAGAATTTAAGACAATGTAGACATGGATTTGATGCTTGCAAACAGTCCTATAGTGAAGTGCTAGTTATAGGAAAGTAATCATATTTAAAGCAACAAAAAGCATGTTGATAAGACACGAGGCAGCAGAACACTATACTTTTCAAAACAATTTTTATTTCCATATTCTAGGCTCAGCATATATATATGGGGAATAAATAATTTTTTGGTCAATTATTCACCGCCATTGGAATAATTTGGTCCCATCCCCAATTTTGCTAGGCCTTGTTTGGATATTCATTCTATTTTAAACAAAGAGCTGTATATACAAAAGTACAGGCCGATTAATACACAGTATTACCCACAGCATTAGCTGCTATTTTTCCTTCATGTTGCATATTCACAGCTTTCCAAACACAGGTATTGTACCTCAATTAGAATAACAAGTTCAATCATAAATGAGATTATCCCAGAAGCACCTCTATACAGGCATGAGACTATTTTCATATTAGTGTGCTTATATAATTGAAGAGGGGGAACTTTGAAACTGAGCTGTGAGTTGCTTAAACACATGAGAATATAATCGTGAATTTTATAGAGCATTTTCATTGTCAAAAACAGTGTATGTATTTATTTATTTATAAGTTCAATTTATAGCCCTCCCTCCCCTGTAGTCAAAACCAAAGTACACTTACTTTTTGTTAATGAATTGAACTCTTTAAACTCAATCTGTGTCGTTGCTGTACTGTAGAACTGTTAATATTTTATCTTATTATTGAATGTATGAATGTTGTTACCTGCCCTGACCCCTGCTATACAGGGGAGGGTGGGCTAAAAATAGAATAAAAATAAAAATCCACAGATGGGCACTGCTTCACTATGAATGCTATAATCTACATAATCTACAAACCAATGTGTCCTCCCAGCTATAAATCCCTCTTAAAAACTCATCTGCTTCAAAAGAGAAAGAAACAAAAAGATTAAAAAAACATCTGCTCCTAGTCTGTCTGAACAACTACAATTGTAATTTACATGAATTTGCTTTGATCACTGCATTTTTAAGAAGACAAAATTCATGTTATGTTATTTATGTTTCATGTTTGTAAATATTCCTTTACACAAAGAAACCTATTTGGTGTTCGCCCCAGTTTCTCTTTTGCAAGCTGCACAGTATATGTAACCCTGTTTATGAAATAAATTCTTCAGGGGCTCGAGTCACATACCAAAAAATTATTATTGTGGACCACAAAAACTTATGCCCAGGATTTAAATTTGTTGGGTCTTAAATGTGCCACCAGACTCAAACTTTGTTCTCACACACCCTGTTATTCTTCCTCATTGTTCTTGCCTAGGACATGGGACAAAGCTACAGCATCTCTGTCTAGATGGTGTCCAGCCCTTTCCCAATAACAAGGTTGCCCATCTGTATAATGCAAATGAAAACTCCAAATTAGCCCGCTATCCTGAGCGCTGGACAGAGATGGGTCCCTGCATGCCATGGCAGCAATCCTAAACAGTTACCGGGTAGTAATAAGCTAGTGCTCCTTATTACTGTGTAGGCACGCTGATGATCCCACTGCCATCGTTTCATCTACTCCACAAGCCTTACAATTTGGGACAGAACTGTCTTGCTCGCCACTGATCCTTGAGTGACAGCTGGCTGGCAATCCTCGTTTGGGACAAATACACACAAATGTAATCTGATTGTTCGAGTGCAATCCTTCCCCGGAGAGCTATACTAGACACGGGCTAAAGAAAAGAGGGCATCTCCGCAGCAGGTGCCCATTGCAGTGGGGCTCCCCGTGGAGGCCTCTGCTTCGGGACGGCAAGAGCCTGCGAGGGACAGGTCGAGGCGAAGCCCGGCGCACCCCCCTTTAAAGGGCGGCGCTTAAAGCAGGTAACACTTCCGGTTTGGACACTAGGCGACTTCCCCCGTCTCTCCAAACTAAGCCGGGGGAAGGGGCGAAGGGGCACCCGCCCCACCGACTTACCTGCCAGGACGGCAGAGGGAGCCTGGCCCCACGCAGCCCTCGGGCAGAGGGCAAGGGGAGGGACTGAAGCGTGGAGGACGCCCCCTACAGGCAGCGTCTCCGGCTCGTCTTCGGCCCAGTCCAGGCAGCCCATAGGCCAGCCGGGACCATCATCCCCACATCAGCGACGCGGCCGCTGGAACAGAGGCTCGCCGCGCCGACCGCACGGTGCGCGAGGCTCGCGCACGTCGACGCGCGTGCAACCTCGAGCGGAGCCAATGGCGAACAAGCGGAGCCGCTGCCGTTGTCCCGCCCCTTTCTTCCCCGGCGGTTTCTGCGGCCGAACCTTTCCACCTCCCACCTGCAGAACCAGCAGCCCCTGGTGGCCGTAAGGGCTCATTGCAGCAAAAGGCAGATGGGTTTCCCGGAGGACCTTCTTCAGGGTTGCCCTGTTGGAAAGAAGCCCGTAGCCTTTGTGCTGCTTCCTGCAGAACAGTGTACATCAGGACAGGGACGCAGGGGAGGAATTATTCCTCCCGGTTCCAGCCGAGCCCTGTGGTTCCCCTCCCAGCCCCAAATGCCTGTCCCCCTTCTGTTCGTAGAGGTGTAAAGAGAGGGCACTCCACGTTTTGGCCTCAGAGTGCGTAAGCCTGGTTAAGATGTCTACAAGGAAAAGATGCCTGTACGATAATGAGATTGATGTATAAATTGTAACTCAAGAATTTAGAATGTTTGTATTAAAAAAATCATAGTACGTTATTCTTTTAGGACTTGGGTTTCTCACCGCTCTGGTCAGAACTATACATGCGCAAACTTCCTTCTGGATCATATGCCCTCCCCCCAAAAAACCACCCACCCTATTTGAATGTAACTTCTTAGTAAACTTCCGAAGCAAAACAGTCTGTTAATTAAGACCAGTCAAATTACATTTTACAATATTAAAATATACACTTCTATATTTTATAGGCATTATTCTTTTGTAAAAAGGTAAAGGTAAAGGTTCCCTTGCTCGAAAGCCAGTCGAATCCGACTCTAGGGTTGCGGTGCTCATCTCCGTTTCAAAGCCGAAGAGCCAGCGCTGTCCGAAGACGTTTCCGTGGTCATGTGGCCGGCATGACTAAACACCAAGGCGCCCGGAACGCTGTTACCTTCCCACCGAAGTGGTACCTATTTATCTACTTGCAATTTCTTGCTTTCGAACTGCTAGGTTGGCAGGAGCTGGAACTAGAGACAGGAGCTCACCCATCACTATTTTTCTCTTTTTTTCCCCCATCAGTCTTTTGAGTTGGGAAAGGACAGGAAGATTGCACTACAATGCTATGAATAGGAAAATTAATGCTTGTGTCAAATTTCTGGAAATGCTCAACAATTTGAAGATTCTGCCTCTTTATAATATTATCTGGAATTGGGCTGGTGCATATGAGTTAGATATAAAATTATACATATATAAACATTCACATATGTATCACAAATCTTAAAGGATGCTGTTATCTTTCATGTTACTGGATAATTAATGCCCCAACACCAAGCTCTCTTCTGTAGGTGTTAGGAATTTTTTATAGCATTACCACTAGAGGTCCCCTCAACATACTAAAAGACATCTTTAAGGAATGGTGAGGCAAATCTCATATTTTTCAAAATATTAATTCTCTATTGCAAAGAGCAGTGTTCTAAAGAAGGCTAATGTAAGAGGTCTGTCATATGCAATCCTCCCCTCCATTTTCAGAACAGCCTAAAATACACAGTCTGTTTACTTCATGTTGTGTCTTTACCATTGAAACACAATGTAAAGCTTGAAACCTCAACCGGATTGTAATCTGGAACAACACCATTGGCTGAAGCATGTTATGTGACCAATGAAATGTAAGACTGTGCTGGAGGGAAGACAAATGATTGGTTGTTATCTATGCAATGTGATTGGACGTTAACTATGTAAGGGCGTGGCCCAGGAGAGTTTAAAAGGAGCTATGCTCCACTATTTGTTGTGGTGTGTCGTCTGTTGCTGTGTGATCTTTGGAAGTTCTCGTTCTCAATAAAGCTGATTCACTTTGTTACTTACTTTGTTGTTGAGTTGCATATTTAACACTTCACATAAATGTATCTCTTTTCACCAGTCACACTGCCAGATACGAATAGATTTTCACTGTGTTCAAGCTTTGGTTATGGCCAAAGGAAATCATTCCATGCACACTTAGCCACACTCTTCATTTGCCCCATAGCTTTGTCTGCCCATTATTTGCATGTCTGAGTAACTGAAGACAGATTCCAGAACTGAGCGCTTATGACCCCCATAAAAGGCAAGCCTAAGAAGGATCAGGAGATAGGAGGAGCAGCTTATGTTTACGAATTTCATTTCACTGAAGAGCAGCTCTTGTATTAGTGATTGAGAATGTTTTCTTATAGTTCAACATGGACACTGCTTGGCCTCTACTGTTGGACACATGGCTATGCTTTGCTTTGCACTCTTCCTTATCCAAGTAGTGAGAAATAATTCAGCATAGGCATATACAAGCAGAAGTTCCCTTGGAAGACAGCACTGGAGATTTGGGGTGACTTTGATCTCTTTATTTACAAACTAGAAATAATGCCCGTTGCGGAAATAAATACAACGGGATCTAGAAAGAGGCTCTTGGAGAGTGCTCTGGCTTTGGGCAAACAGTGTCAGTTTCCTGTGGCGACCTCAGCAGGGTTTAATGACAGAGTCCACTGTTTTCTCCAGAGGGACTGATCTCTGCTACCTGAAGAGCATTTGTATGTTTGAGTTATCTGTAGCCCTCACCTGGAGAGTGGTAACCATTGTTACCCATTCTCCTCTCCCCTATGAGGTATGTTATGCAACTGAAAATTCCAACTGCCTTGCGGGGGGGGGGGAGTTTGAGGTGTGGAATGGACTGAAGTCCAATCAGCTTCCATATGCAAAAGACCAGGTTGTCGCAGCAGTTGTGGTGTGGGCGGGACCCGGGCTTTGCCTTCTGATTGGTGGCGATATATGCTGAGGAGCAGTGCCATCAGCCATACACTAAGGGAGTGCATTTTAGAATTAGAACTTTGGCACCCACTATTCAAGTATATATAAGGAGAGATTCATGAGTTTAGCAGGCATGATAGAGGGCTAGAAGCAAACACCAGCATGCAGTGATTCTCCTAAAAGGCAATCAGAACCATGAAATTCTAAAGCAACTCTCTACTTGTGGCTGAACAGCAGGGGTTTTTTTATGACCTTCTCTCCTTTCCATAGAAGATTTAACCTCTAGGTCAAGGGTGTCAAACTCATTTGTTATAATGGCTGGATCTAATATAAATGAGACCTTGTTGGGCCGGGCCATGTGTGCCATAAAATGTTATGCCAGGTAGCGGAGATATAAACTTTATAAAGGACACAAACACAAAGGGTTTTTTTTTACTTAAAATAAAAACATGCTTAAGACATTAGCTCTGCAAGCTGCAACCCTACTTTTGATTTATTGACATTCGCCACAGAAACCTGACGCTCGGAGTTCTGAGACGAGGACCCAGGTGAAAACA